GGTTATTGCCAGCCAGCTGAAAAGTTGCTTTATCTGTATGCTCGGGATACGAGAGAGGCCCTAGGCAAGAGATTCTTATTACGGAAGAGACATATTTTTTAGGAATATGGGGTTTTGTAACATTAAAAGCATCCCTTCTCAAAATGGACCGAGCAGGTGGCCACACCTCCAATCAAAACAGCTTGGCTTGATCTTTCTCGGCAGCTTTATGCTCATTGGGGATTCATGTAGTAGAGATGTAGCTGTGTTAGTCTGGTCTAGTTGAAACACAAGACAGAACTATGCAGCACTTTAAAGACTAACAAGATGGTTTATTAGGTGATGAGCTTTCTTGGGCCAGTCCCACTTCCTCAGATCAAATCGTGGAAGAAAATTGTCACAACCATATATACCAAAGGATACAATTAAAAAAAAAAAAAGTGCACACCTAATTTATGGAGAGATTTTTTTTCTAAGAGGCCCCGTGAGCCTTAATGGGAGGGGGAAATGTGCAAAGTCTATTTGTGGCTTATTTAGAAGCTATTTTCAGATGATTTGTCACTTAGAAATGGGGCCGTCTGGGATAGGCGATGCCCCTTCTATCTGCACAGTGTATAGCACAGAGGGCCCTCGTGGACTGGCTTTAGGTCAGCGTGGGGTAACCTGGGCTAGTGAGGGGATTGCATGAATGGCCCTCCTCCAACTCAGTGGGCTGTAAGATTGTCGAAAGCAAAGACACTCTCCTGGCATAGTACAGTTGGCAAAACTATCCTGACCTAGAATGGGCAGGCTGTTCGGGGCAGGCCTGTGATTGGATGCTGAGGGCGCACACGGCTCTCCGTCAACTTGTGTGCAATCCACACACCCCTCGCTTCATGTGTGTCACGTCAGTACTACTGGGAGGAAACCAAAGTGTTCCGCAGGTCACACACAGACCCCCCGAGGGCTGCATGTGGCCCGTGGGCCGCAGGTCGCCCACCGCTGCTTTAGTTGTTACTCCACATCAGTGTTTAATAGCTTGGCCTGCGGACTAGTTTGAAGTACCTGCTTAGCTTGCAGATCATGGAGTCGAGTTTGCAGGGCTGGCAATTAGAAAAATCAGTTTACGTGTAGACTGAAGAAACTTACTGTGGACTCAGCAAACTGGAACCACCGCGAGTACGCTTAGTGCTATTGCAAACAGCACTAGTTGAAATCTGGGAGTGAGACTGTATCTCGTAGGTTTATTCTTCCTCAGGTGGGACTTGATCCTGTGCTCCAAGTCAGTGGCAAAACTACAGTAATTACTCATTTAACACGTGCCCTCTTAATACATTTTTGCAATAGCACGACTTTTTTTTTTAGGGAACTTTTTCGAATAACACGAAAATAATCACGTGGCAGACTACTTTGCGCGGCGGCATAAGTTGGTGAAAACAGTGGTAATACGCAGGAGCGGATGAATACATGTGGTCACAATGCTCCTCCGCTCACTCGTGTTTATCTTTGTGTGTTAATCCGTGGTGACTTGTGTTGCTAGTTTTCTTGTCTTGCTGGATGTTGATGTTGATGACCCAGCACCAACAAAAAATTAGATTTTGCCGCCACCACCACTTGAAACACAACCCCCACCTTTTTCCATTATTTTTAATGGGAAAATTGACCCCGCATAGCACGTTCTCGCTTAGCACGAACATTTTCAGAAACACCTCTCTAGTGTTAAATGAGGAAGTACTGTTGCCTTCAACATCACAGAATCAGGCCTGCGTTCCCTCCCTTTTTTTGTTCCGTTGCTCAGGGTAAAATTTTTCTTTGGCCTCACCAGTATGGTGATGGGTCCATTAGAAATGCCTAATACGGATACACGGGGTCTGACTCAAACATCTTCCACTTTGCTTCCATATTTTGGCCACCACCAGATAGAGGTTAAAGAAAAGAGATGGAAGGTATTTGGAAAGGTTGTTGCAAGGGAAAGTTCTAACTGCAGCGTTCTAGATGATGCCTAAGCTCCTTCTAGGAGTTCTGGTGGCGGCCCGATGGGAGTTGATCGGAGACTGCCCGAAGATACAGATTTGACTGTAAGAGACTTAAGCAAGGTTTGTGGCTTTTGTTGCTGTTGTTTCAGAGCAGAGTTTGGGAAGTACGTGACGAAAGTCTAAGCCAGGTGCTTTCTGGGGCACTGTCCTTTCCTATTCCATCAAGTGCCCTTCTCCAAAACCTGAGCTAATTGCAAACGGCTCTTCAGTTCTTAGGCTTTGATTTCCTTGCTAAGGTGCAATTCTTTGGTTGCAATTCTTTGGTTTTCAGGCTCTTAGCTGAAAGTGCTTTAAGAGATGCTATATATTAGCAGCAATTTCAAAGTTACAGTAATACCTCAGAGATACGAACACCTCAGGAATGGCAGTTGCTGGTAATTCTGAAATATTCATACCTCTGAACAAAATGCTATGGGGGTTCTTTCAAAGGTTTCCAGCTGAACGCTGACTTTCAAACAGCTTTGAAACTTTACTATGCAGAAGAAATTCTGCTTCTAACCATCTTGATTTAAATAAAACAAGTACCAAACTAGTTTCCTTACCTTGGCAGTATTTTTGAAACTCGCTTTAAGTAGTTTAAGACATTACTGTATTTGGATTTTTTGGGGGGAGGGGAGGGGTCTCTGCTGCTGCCTGATTGTGCACTTCCTGTTCCAAATGAGAGGTGTAATTGACTAACTGTTAATAACTACAAGATGTTCCTGTAAAAGATGTATTTAACCTGTGCCACACCTACAGGATAATCTCCTCTATGAAGGTAAAGTGGTTGTGGATTTTATAAAAGTTTCCTGGCCCAATGGAATGACCCTAGAAGAACAATACTGTTGTCTAATAGATCCACTAATAAAAAGGGCATCGGAGTAATTTTGAGAGCTATTTTATTTACTATTATCAAAAATACTCTTGTGTACAACAATTCTTGTTTGCGAGAAATGGTTCATAGATGAAAGTAAAGTCCTGTTAGGATTGCTTTCAAAGTTACAGCTGAGCAACCAATTGAATCGCATAATATTTCTTTCCACACTTAAAATCAGGACAGTAAAATGATTGGCCATTCATTGTTGCCAGATGCTTTTGTACGGTTAAATACGTGTTTGTCCTCCCAGCTGAGTTCATGCCACACAATGAATGACTTCCTGAGAAGTGCAGGCCAGTTTGTGGGTAGACCAGTCGTCTGCTGCCGCTTGGTACACACATCCAGATTTATTTTGATCAATATTTTTTTCTGAGATTGATGTGCTGCGGACTTGGGTTGATTCGCACAGTGTAACATTCCAGGGGAAGGGGAGATGAAGTGATTGCCTTAATTCCGGCTGGTGCCGATAATCCTGTGCTTCTAACTGTTGATCTTCTCGCAGGGATTTTAAAAAAAATCTTTCCACATTTATCTGGTCCTTCTCCTTTTGTTTCAAAATCCTTGGCAGCCAATTTCCAAGAAAAGCCAGCTGCCTCCTTTCCTTCCACTCCCTCAGGCAGGTTCACAGTGCTAATATTGTTCCCTCTAACCAAGTCCTCAAATGCTTCCAGGCTCAGGTCGTTCTCTAGTTTTGCTTTTAATGGGAACTAGCTGTTGAGGTTGCTTTGTAGAAATGTGTCTGAGGTAGGGAAATTAAACAGCGGTTAACTGAATAGTCGATTAACCTCATGAATTCTGATTGGTTACTTGATTATTCTATAGTTCCTGGAGGCGGGGCCAGCAACCAGTGTGCTCCAGCCTCACTCTTGAGGAGCCCCTTGGTACTTCATGCTGCTGCCTCTGTATCAGCAGGGTGGATGCCAGGCAGGAGCTGGTCTGCGAGGGGAGCCTGTTTTTTAAAACAAACAAAAAACCTGTCCAGGAGGGCTGAGCTCCTGCACTTGGTGCAGCGGTGGTAGGTCCCAGACCTGGTCCAAGCCAAGATTGAGCCGGGCTGCTGGCGAGCCTGTTAAAAAATGTACTGGCAGGGTGGGCGGGGCAGAAATGCGTGCAGACTATAGCATTAACCTATAAACTGTTGCTTATCCGTTAATTGACTACATTATTACATCCCTAGTTTGAGGGCAGACTGCTTTCTGATTTGGCTGTTTCTGCATCTAAATGGGTGACCTGTGGGCGCTTCTTTACGTTCCCCCCCCCACCACCACACACATAGCAGAATAGGAGGAAGCAATTGTTCTCTGGATTGTGTCCGTTTTCTGCTGCATTGCATGAAGCCCCCTTGTAGGTTTGGGAAGAAGATGGCAGCAGCCAGTTTGATGTGAAGCATTTGCTGGTGGGAGCAAGCGTGGCTGGGTTAGGCACCCCCCCACACACACACACGCGCGTACATTATGGCACGTGCCCTCATCTTTTCCATCCACGTGCGAAAAATTTTTATGTGCATCAAAGCATGTGCAAATGCACCAATAGGAACACACACCCTCGCTTCCCCCGGCTTATCGGGAACGTTGCATTACGGTCTCTGTTCCCCAGAACGGAGGCGTAGCGAGGGTGTTATGCATCCAGAGACAAAGGCGACGTTTGTGCATGCATCTCTTGTTGCCCCCGCGCGGCGGAGCCCCAAACCTGACACACGGCTAAGCCCGACTGGGGGGGAGGGGCAGAGCTTGTCCCGTATCTTTCCCCTCCCCCTCCTATTTGGGGCTGGGCCCCCCCGCACACACTAACCCACTGGTGGAGATGGAGGAGGCTCCAGGTGGGGGCAGCGGGCGGAGGAGGAGCGGGTGAGCCAAGGGATGACTGGGGGAGCAGAGGTGGACTAAATTGGTGCCCCTCCTAGCATGGCACCTGGGGGCAACTGCACTCCTCCCTCCCCTTGCTATGCCTCTGCCCCAGAAGCTGAGGCCTGAACTAAAATGGTAAGGAAGAAGTCTGACACTAGCCCTAGGGTTTTGTAGAGGCACTAGGTTTCCTTGCTTCCTGTCAGTCAGATGGCCCCAACCCTCGCAATGCTTAGAATACAATACGCCGTCCCTCCTTACTAGGTCCTGGTCCAGGATTGACCGATCCTACCAGATGTTACCTACCTGAGGGGTCCTGCGCTCTGTTCCGGTTCCGTTCCGGCAGCTGCTGTTGGTTAGAAGTGGAATCGGGGCCTGTCCTTTCCATCTGGTACAGGTGACTGCAGAGAACTGGTATCTCGTGTTACCTTTGCGAAGTAGATAATTCAACGCCAGCCTCCTCCCATCCTGCTTGGGGATGTCTGTTGTCTAGGTCTTCACTCAGATTGTGTCCTGTTGGTAACCGGACCTTTGATTCTGTGGACAGTATCGTATTCTCATTCTTCGTGGGAACAAATAAGTACTCCGGAATCCCGTCAGACCGGTTTTCTGTACCGTTCTCTTCCCTCCGCCCCCCTTTTGTTGTTTCATAAGCAAACGTGTATGTGTGTGTCCTTCTGTTCAGAGCTCACAGGCTATGACCACCGTATTTCAGTCTCATTTTAAAATTCCATCTGACTCATGAGCTGATGAGCATCTCTTTAAAAGGATCCCGATTTGGTATCTTGCTACTGTGTGCATTCTTTAAAAAGCATGCTTGCTCACAAATTTATCCCCAGAGAATTGTGTGTTTCATACTTTCAACAACTTTCACTAACACGTGCCAGAAGAGTTTCCATCTCCTGTCGGACTGGAATGCCTATTCTCAGTGCAGCATTAGCTGAATGAAAGTACTCTGACACAATTTTTTATATAACATCTGCACTACAGCTGTCTGTCTAGCTAAATGAAACCTTAAGGCCGGTATAGCAATGAGTCATTGGTGACTGAGTTACTAAGTCATACCAAACAGGCCACTGTCGAATGCCGCCCCCTCCAAAGCTCCTTCCTGCACTTTCATTTTCCGTTGGGGGGGCGTTGTCTTCCAGTTCCAAATGGATTTTCAATGTGATGTTTCTGTTTGGGGGAGATCGTTGCAGACTCGCCATAAACCTGCACTTCAACTGGCAACATTAGGACCCGTCATTCACCGCGGAGGTGGAGATATACAACCCTGTGTGGAGCCGAGTTAGACAATAGTGGTTAGAAACACCCCAACCCTGTCTAAACTAGACTTTCTACTCTTGCAACCATTAACCTATATTTACCCCAGTACCACTCTAGATCCTAACTTTCCTAGTGTAGCCAACACCCTAAATGGATGCAGTGAGCTGGGAAGAATTTAGTGAGGCTTGCCGGCTATTGGCCGTTAGGGAGTAGTCAATGTAAGCCATCACTTTCCTCTGAATGTTTGGGAGGTGCCATATTTATTTGGTGCCAGCCCAATGCTCAAAGCCTGGAAGTTGGGCTACTCCATCTACTAGTGTTGGCTACTCATGGTGCTGCCTCTGTGGTTTTGGGAGAGAGTTCTTGAGGAACATTGTCAATTGTGAAACAGTCAGGTCCTCCTAAGGTGTCAACAGCAATGGGTGAGACCGAAATGCGTCCAGTTGACTAGTCACGGCGTAGGAACGCCTCTTCCTTGTCTGTCTTGGCCAAATGTCAACTTTGCTCTTGGAGTGGGTTTTGCTTTCAGATTCATAGAGCGCTGCGCGGATACAGAATTGGTGTCCGTATCCGGAAAAATTATCCAGGAATCTCTGCATCCACATCTGTCTGTCTGGGTTTGCGGGGCTGTCCAGGTTCAGTGTTGTGGTGTCTGAGCTGCAGGTAGTGAGTTAGTCTTGGCTGTCTCTTCGAGTTAAACGAACAACAATCCGATCCAAGCTGGTGAGCCAATCGTGTGTTTACAGCCCTACGTTTTGGACCATGCTTGCGTTGACAACCTCCCACTATTGCCCCGTGCCTCTGCTGTGAGCACAGCTGTGCTCAGAGATGCAGACGGTGGCCAACTCGAATGTGGAGAGGGAAAGAAGTGGAGTTTACAGCAAGTTTTGTGGGGGGGGGTTTCTGAAGTAGAACACACATGATACAGTAGGTCCTAGCTACTCTCTAGATCCGGGCGGGGAGCCTCAGGTGCAGGGGCCAGATGCAGCCCGCGGATCCGGCCTGCAGGGCTCAGGGCCCCTCCAGCACTGGGGAGCCTTCACTAGTGCTCCAGCCCCCCTGCTGCCCCACACAAAATCTACTAGCCTCCAGGCTCTGGTGTAGGAGGAGAATGTGGGCAGTGTGTTTCCTTCTCCATTGGGGGGCCATGTCCGTGAGGGGTTTTTTCTTTTCGCTTGTGCGTAGGGTCGCCAGGTGTCCTGTTTTGAACCGGACAGTCCAGTATTTGAGCTTTTTGTCCAGGAAACAAATTGAGACAATAGAAATGAGGAGAATACGAATGTCCGGACTTTTCTAACTAAGATGTGATGTAGATTGTGACGTAATGTCAAGTGTGTCCACGATTTTTGTGGAAACCATCTGCCAACCCTACTGTGTGGTGTGTGGCCCCCGACTGATTTTTCCATGGGTCATTGGCCCCCGACCCAAAAAAGGGTTTCCCAGCCCTGCTCTAGATCTTACGCTCAAATGTAAGAGCGAATCTCACAATCTGAAGTAGGCATTTAGGGGGAGGGACGTGACAACTGCAGAGATTGAACTTGGAAGGGCACTGCCTGGAGGAAAATTGGGTAACCAGGAACTCCGCTGTTGTTGTGGTTTGTTTTTAAATTGAGACGAGCCAAAGGGAGAGAGAGAATGAGTCCTGGGCAATAACTGCAAAAAAAGTAGCCCAAGAAAACAGCCCTTTTTCAAACGAGTAAGAAATTGTCATGTTGTGCTGCTGGACTATGTTACTAGTCTTGTCGGCTGCTCTTCTCCCCGCTGGGTGTGCAGTTAACACCCCCTTCCCTCCCCACACACTGCCCCATTGCATCCCTGTCTTTTATTTTTTGTTTGGGGGCCATCTTTGGTTCTGCGCCTGTACCATGCCTAACGCAGTGTAGCCTGCTCTTGGGGAGGTCTCCCGTTGTACATATTGCTGGCATAATTTCTAAAATTACTCGACTTGTACATTAAGGGATTTTTGTTTGTTTTTATGCACTTAACAGCACTCTGTTTAATGTTAATAGAAATGTAGCCGTGTTAGTCTGGTCCAGCTGAAACAAAAGACAGGGCTATGTAGCACTTTAAAGACTAACAAGATGGTTTATTAGGTGATGGGCTTTCGTGGGCCAGACCCACTTCCTCAGATCAAATAGTGGAAGAAAATTGGCACGACCATATCCTTTGGTATATATGGTCACGCCAATTTTCTTCCACTATTTGATCTGAGGAAGTGGGTCTGGCCCACGAAAGCGCATCACCTAATAAACCATCTTGTTAGTCTTTAAAGAGCTACATAGCCCTGTCTTTTTTTGTTTGTTTGTTTGTTATAATGTTGTTAGGGTTTGTATGGGGCTTTTTACATGGTAACATTGGCAGGGGGATATAGGGAGCAGATCTATAACTTGTAATCTAGTTAAATAGACTGGTTTCAAGTTGATTGTCTCTTTAAAGCAGTTTAAAAAAAACACACAAACAAACCCAAGTGTTTGGCCTAAACGTTTTGTTTGCTTTGTGGTTACTGTAACAAGTCCTGTGTACACTCACGGTTCTGGTTCTGAATTTTGGCCTGGCTTCTGTTTTGGCTGCTTCTTCTCTTGGCGTGAATGCCAGGGTTAAGAGTTTTCAGAAAGCACAGGACCAATCCCAAAGATGTTTGCAGAGTAACATTGAGGACAACTGCCTTTCTGCAAGGGGTCACCCGATGACATTAATAGGCAGCTGGTTTAAAAGAAAAGGAAGCTTGTCATTCTGAGCACAGTCAACCTGTGGAACTCCTTGCTGGAGGATGTTGTGAAGACCAGGACTTGAACAGGGTTTAAAAAAAACTAGATAAATTCGTGGAGGTTGGGTCCATCAATACTTGTTAGCTAGGATGGGTAGAAATGGGGTGTCTATCCTCTGTTTGTCAGAGGCTGGAAATGGGTGACAGGAGAGGGGTCATGTGGTAATTCCTTGTTCTGTTCATTCCCTTTGGGGCAGCTGACATTGGCCACTGTTGGCAGACAGGGCACTGGGCTAGCTGGGCCTCTGGTCTGACCCAGTTTGGCCATTCTTATGCTTCATCTACTTGCAAGTGAACGAGAACACTTTGGTTCCCACGTCTAGCTGTTGCATTTAATGACCGTTGACGTTGGTGGATGGGGCTGAGTGGATGGTCTGGAGTCTGTAGGTCAGTACAGCACAGGAAGTGGGTGTGTTGCTTTGGTCACGCTGCCTGGATAGTAGGTCTCAAGGTTGGTTTGGAGAGAGTTAATTTGTAGTGCTAGCCAATCCTGAACTAGCTACTTAGTTGCAGCCTGTTGAGTGGACCAATCACTGGCCACTCTGGTGTGTTTGTGGTCCGGAGAGTTGTTGCTGGGCTGAGAACTCGGCTCACTTGGTACAGGATACTGAGCCATCCGTACAACGTGTGGGGAGGGAGAGACAGTGGTGGGAAATCCCTTCTATTGCTCAAACTGGGAGCTCCCCCATCCCCCACTCTCACATCCTCTTACTAAGCGGTGAAGTTACTGCTCTGTGAGCCTGCGAGTGCTGTGGAGATGGGGAGTGAGTTCGGTGCACGAGCGCAGCTGGCTGGGCTCTGTGGCTAGACCAGAGCCCGCGCTGGTAAAACGGTCTGTGCCGCCTTCCCAGCCTGGATGTGCCTAGCTTCAGACTCCAACCAGTGCCTCGTGCTGGGACCTTTCTCTGCGGGCTGGAAGTGCCCGGTATTAAGTCTGTTCCCCAGGCAGCAGCTTGGGCCCTGATCCAGTCACCCCGACCCGTTTCTCAGGGAACTCGATCTGCTTAGCCTATCACGATGGGGCAGGCCGTGGAAACTGTTCACCGCTCCTCTCCGGTTTCTCTGTGTCCTCCTCGAATCGCAGGTTCCGGACTGAACCCAGGGTTATAGAAGAATGGCCTTATGGGGTCATACTATGTAGCCCAGTGTCCTGGTTGCCCACAGGGGCCAATGCCAGGTGCCTCAGAGGGAGTGAACAGAACAGGGACTAAAGTGATCCCTCCCGTCGCCCATTTGTAGCCTCTGACAAACAGTCTAGGGACACCATTCCCATCCATTCTGGCTAGTAGCCATTGATAGACCTTACTTCTGTGACTCTGTCTAGCTTCTTTAAAAAAAAAAAAAAAACCCTGTTCAAGTCCCGGTCTTCACAACATCCTCTGGCAAGGAGTTCCACAGGCCGACTGACTGTGTGTTGTGAAGAAAAACTTCCTTTTGTTTGTTTTTAAACCTGCTACCTATAAATTTCATTTGATGACCCCTCGTTCTTGTGGTAAGGGAATAAGTAAATAATTTTTCCTTATTCCTTTTCTCCACACTGGTCTTGATTTTTCTAGATGTCTAGCATATCCCTCCTTAGTCTCCTCTTTCCTAAATTGAAAAGTCCTAGTTTTATTAACCTCTCCTTATATTGAAGCCATTCCAAATAATTTTTGTTGACCTTTCCCGAACTTTTTCCAATGCCAAGTTATCTTTTTTTTTTTAAAGATGAAGTGACCATATCTCCATGCAGTATTCAAAATGTGGGTGTACCATGGATTTATACAAAGGCAATAAGATATTTTCTGTCTTATTCTCCATCCTTTTTGTAGTGATTCTCAACATTGTTTGCTTTTTTGATGGCTGCTGCACACTGAATGGACGTTTTCAGAGAACTATCCACAGTAACTCCATGATCTCTTTCTCGAGTGGTAACGGCTAATTTAATCTTCATATAGTGGCTATTCTGTGTCCCAGTGAGCACTGGAAACTCGTTACAGCAGTGCAGAGGTGTGAGAACCTCTCTGCTCCTCCTTGATTCCTTGAGGTTCCCCTATTTGTGCATGCGAGGAGCTCTTGTGGCCACATTGAGAGTGGAGGCATCTTTTTGTTGTTCTGGGATGTAGATATTTACATAAACACATTTCTTTTTGCCCTTCCCCTCCCAACCCCCTTCACCAAGCAGTCCAGCTTGCTCTTGGCTAGTGACCTCTGACTTATTTGCTGCTCCTCCAATTGTAGTCATATGCAGATTTGATCAGAGACTACTTTATTCTTCCAGGTCACCGATGTGAAATAGCATACCGTTAAAACCGGGCCCTCCTAAAACCATCTCCACTCAGTGATGCTTTCTCCACATTTTGTGGCCTGTCAGTTAATTAGCTTTGAATCCATTGACTGTCTCCATGTTGCATAGCGTTCTAGTTTTTAATCCGTGTGGAGAGGTACCAAGTCAAACGCCAGTCCCGTATCTAGCTGTATTCCACCAGTGCTAATGTCTTCTCCAGCCAAAACTGGTCATCTAAAAACCAGATCACTAGCTGCTGCTCCATTTGAAGCATGCTCTTCAGTTCCCCTCTGCATTGATGGACTCCCAGGCATTTCTGACTCGTGTGCTTGCCAGGGCTGTCTGGTTGAATTCAACCTTCCCCTTCCATTTATGTCGCAGTCCCTAACCGTGTCTCATTGGATTTGAGTTGATGTTTGACTGGCTTGGACAGCAAGATCAAACCATGCAGGGGCGGTCAGTGTTTTCTGGAAGTGTCTGTCTTGTGACTCCCCTCCCCACCCCCTCTCATTTGCTTCTATTTTTGGACGGAGAAGGTAGTGAGGTGGCTCGTTCTCCTCCCTCCCCACCCCTCCGTGTGTCCCTTACTGTCTGCTAGGGCATTGAAAGATGCAATCAGTTGTAAATATTTTTCAGGCATCTTATTGCTAAAAGCAACCCCTTCTTGGTGTTACAGTGATGCTGATGCTTAATATCAGAGGGGCAATGCTTCCTCTCCGCTTAGTCATGAAAACAAACCAATTTTAGTTTCTTATATCTCGCTTTGCAGATTATTTTTCCTGGCAATGTTTTGAGCCCACGAGGATTTTGCTCCTTCCTGCCGTGCTGGCTCTCTGAGGTTCTGTAGTCCGTCTAAACGTGTGCACCCACTTATCCCCTCCCTGCGTCATTGCAGGGACTGATTCTGGAGACTGTTCTGTTCAAGTTGCTGACCTCGGACACGGTCTTTAGCAAACAATACAACTTTCTGAAGAGCCTGGAAGGAGGGAGATTCTGGAAGCAGGGCTCTAGATGGAATTGACTGTGCAGTTAATTCCGCTCCCAGAAGGTCTCCAAATTGTATCTGCTTATTTTATTGGCCAAACCACGTTTTTACTAGTGTTGGCAGCACTTGCAGAATCAGTGCAGCTCTGGGAACTGGAGTTAATTGCCTTGTGCAGAACTAGATGCCTTTACTCTGTAAATTATTTTATTACGGGTGGAAAATGTATGAATTAGAATTGATTCCTGTGCGTGGCTGAATGGGGAATGCTGGCGGTTGACAGATTGGAGGGTGAATGGTGTGATGGAGGAACTTATTTTCTTAGCTAGCACCTGGCGGAATTTTAAAATATCCTGCAGCTGTAGTAAGATGCAAGGTCTCCACGCTGTTACGTCGCTCATCTAGCCCCACGACTTGAAAGGCCTGATTGGTTCAATCCGACTTCTAGAAGTGTCAGGTGAAGAGCATAGTTCTCTCCCAGTCATTAGACAGCTTTCCCTCCTTTTGAGCCCTACGCGCCCCATGTGTGGTGGTTCACTTGTAATTAACTCCGCTTCCGTTGTGAGCGCCAAAGCTTCCTTTCAGCAAGACAGCGCCTAAATGTCTGAGCCTGTCATTCTACTGCTGCATAGGAATTCCCTGCTTCACCCCATGCCTACCTATAGAAGACTTTCAGAAAGTGGGGTGATGTCATGCTTCTGATGTTTATCCCTCCTAGTTATCCAGGTAGGTCTCTGACCCCCATAAAGGTCCTGGTGGCATAGGAGCGGTTTTCACCTTTTTTATAATCCAGGTGTGTGAAGTTCCTTGGCGCATGGGTGAGTGTGATTCTAGGATCCGTGAAAAGAGAGATGCTCCTTTGTGGTTTGTGTTGGTCTGCAGCAGGTGTGTTGTCCGGCCCATGGCTGTGGTGGATCTGCCAAGTTTCATGGGTCGGGAAGTGGCAATTTTTCTGTGGGGCAGTGATGCAAATCCTGCCTGAAAGAATCAGAAATAAAGTCTGCCAATATGATTGGGGTGCAGAAACCCCCAGACTCCTCA